AAGCATTTTTGAAGAAACAAAGACGAACGAACCAACCTGCTCTAAAAGCCAATTTAAAAAAATAACTGAATGTGAAAAGCAAAAGCCAGAACGAAATAAAAACTAACTATTATGACAAACCCCCCAAACCACGATATTTGCCTTGGCTCAATAAAGTCTGGCAAACACCGGTGGAGATCAACAATCTGAAGCGGTCTACAGGAGCGCAATGAATGTCATTCAGTATTTCCAGCCACCAGATGAGGGGAATATATGAGCAAAACTTGACAAGGCTGTTGAGGTTGGCTGATTTGTTCATGTGCTGGCTGAGGGTTGAGGCGTTTAAAAATGCACAGTTGAAGTGCACTCCGAGAGAGCAGCGGACTCAATGTCAGCGCACTCACATCGCAATGCTAATTGACGGTAATGCACTGCCCGGTCGAACCACAGCGAGCGTATCGAGTGCTCCAGATCACGTCGGAGCTCGGAAAACATGTTAATTCGAACGCAATGTTGACTTTGAGAAGTTGCGTTGTAGCGCCCGTGCGCACTGTGGAGCGGAGTTGCTGAAAAAGCAAGGCCGAGGACAACGTGACATGTCCAAATCTGTGGAAAGCTTTAGGAACCATTCTGTTTTACATATTCCAAGCCCTGGCAACAAAAGTAGAATGCATAACGGAGCATTTTGGGCAATCGAATGCCGCCATGGTTGCCAAAAGAGATGAAGACGCATTCCGCTGGTCCTGCAGCTCAGTGGACTTTACATTTCTAATCGTGAAGCTGTGCTGGAAATAATTCTGATCTCCTTCCCTGCTTGTTGTTTCTTCCCCTTTCGAAAATAAATAAATATGAGGGCCTTTAAGTTTGGCGTCATCCTGCTTAGGTGGCGCTCGGCTGCAGCCGCGCCACAACACCGCTGGTGCTCTTTGCCAGAACGGTGGCCCGCTCCGAGCGTTTCCTGCACATTTCCTGCTCGAGTGGACTGACCCAGTCACGTCACAACCATTAATTTTTCCATCACAACAATAATTCATTCATATTACATGTGCATATACATTAGCTATATATGGACTGCTGCATTTCTTCATGTGACAGAGCGAGAGCTATTTTAAGCCATCTTTTCCAAGGTCTTAATGGGATGTGTGTGACTGGCTGTTTGATTGCTAATTTGTGGCTCATATTAGCCGGCTTACACCTTTTACAAGTCTAGAGATAGTTGTTGTTGTGAGATTTTGGAGTGAACCAGTAATAGATATTGTGCTCATAAATGACTAAACAGTGTATAACTTCTTGGGCTTATACTGACTGTATTGGACAATAACTAAAGTGTATTCTTTAACTCACGTTTACGATGCAATTAAACAGGTTTTTAAGAATCTCGTCTCCAGGTAATTTGGGAAGAAAGTGTGCTACGCTGTAATCACAAAACTAGCAATGTGATGCTATGAAGTGTAGATTTCACATCTCGGTTGACGAGCATCCCTTTATGAGCAAAATATGGTTCTTGTAGAGGAGATTCTGTTTTGCCATATGGGAATTTCTCATTTGTTTGCCATGAAACCGCCGTGAATGTTAAGAACAATGTTGTACAGAAAGCTGTCAGATTTCAGCAAAACTTTGTGGTTTTGTGGTCTTGGCATTTTGTATTTAACACAGGGCAGAGCTTCAATTGCAATTATGTGTACAGTATAAATTGACCAAAAGAGCCTAGCTGGCATGGCTTTCAAAACCAATGATTTCATTTGCCTGTGGAGCATGAATGATTGCGACTCGCTAAATCTGCCTAGCAACAAATGACTAGAACAAACGTTTCTTTCATTGTTTTGCCACAATTGATTTGCGTTTAGTTTTCGAATGAATCACTCATGATTTGACTCGTCTAAAATCTTTCGAATGACCGCCCTGATCTCCCTAAACCAGTCGGGTCACTCGTCTCTCAAGGCACCACTTCCTACCCAGGCAGCTAACTAGCTAACTAGCATGGCTAGCATCAGTTCATTTATGCTAATATGTTACTTTACTAAATAGAGAGGATCACAGAAGGAGTGACTCATTTTCTGAGAAAGAAATACTTTTACTGTTGTACTATGTTTTTATTTCATTTACAAAAAAAAAAAATCTATAGTTTTTACATTTACTTATGTATAAAATAATACATTTTGAGCTTTCATTGCAGTGCGCGATCTTTTCAGTCACCACTATCATGCCGTCAGACTCTGCCCAGACATGATTAATCAACAAACTCAACAAAGTTCCAGCAGGGGCATAGCATGCAGTAGCTGTTATTGTCACCGAGTGTGCTACTCAGGTTAATGATGTGTCCCCGTCGGGATTAGCAAACATGAGCAAACAGCAGGAACGACAGGTGCCATCTGCAAGGTGTGACTCGTGCCACATCTGTCTCGCCGAGTCCTCACGTCTGCTGCACAAAAGTCGCCAGCACAAAAGCTACAGTGCTTGAGCTTTGAATTTTTGTCGCTACGCAATAAAAATGCACAGCACGGACTGTGGCCGGCGAAGGCCTGATAAGCAGCAGCAATGCTCGGGGTGTTAGCGATAAACTAAAGGCTATGCCGAGGGTGTTGCCATGGGCAACTGGAGGTGGCCATATGCCGGATCGACGACTGCACTGGCGACTAGTGACACTTTCTCGGGAATAGCGGAGTGGCAAGACTAATCCAAGAAGTGTGTGCGTTGCATGACTGCCTTTCGTTGTGTGCCTCGCTCCTCTCTGAAAAGCTCATTGATGAAAAGCAAATGAACTGCAAAAAAGGACAGAAGCGGTTCAATCAACCCGATTAGCAGGGGAAAAACGATGATGAGATCCCCCTCCTACTTATTGGATTCTACAGTGACGCAGCGAACGGATGAAGCATCGTACGCTAGTATGTGCACACAAATGGGATTCTTTTTTTTTTTTTGTACAACCGTTTTCTGTGTCGAAACCTCAACAAGCGCAGCTCCCAAAAAAAAGATGATGTTGCTCTGTTTTCATACATCATGACTCAGACCTGATGTTGTGTGCTGCAATGATTTTTTTTTTTTTTTTTTCTTCTCCGCGGCCACACAAAAAGCTTTTTAAAGCCTCCAATATAGACGCGGGACATTTTGGGAAAAACAATTTCTTTGAAGAGGACAGTAACAGTAATCTGTGGCAAAAAAATAAAATGTTTGATTGGGGATTAAAAAAAAAAAAAAAAAAACATGCTCATGTCCAGCTGGGGCTGAAATCTAATTTTGGTTTGTCTCTCTATCTCTCTTTTTATTATTATTTTTTTTCTGAACACGTACCGTACAACGCAAATGCTGCGGGGGCTGAGCTAAACGCACATGTCGACAACCTGAACAATATGTTCCGCAATGTTTGCTGGCGACCTCAATGTCACCTTCCAGCGTAGCTCTTGCATAAAGATGAGGGGAAAAACGACCATTTTCCACCCAATCTGTCCGCATTAAAATGCACTCCCCAGTTTGCCAAGGGCTTTCCAAAGTAACAGGTGGTGCTGCCTGTCACCTTTCACCCTTCAGGGTTTTATAATCATCGTCAATCAGAAGGAAAAACATGATACAACGGATCAATCAAAGGTAAAAGGAACAACGTGGCTCATGGAGACGAGTCAAAAATAATTTGTAGTCGACATGCTTCTTCCAAGTTGATCATGTAGTGCATATGAGGTGTGTAAAGACTTATTTTCTTTTCCTCCCCGGGTAATTGCCGGTTCCTGACAGTCGTAAATGTTCAATATTTAAGGTTCCTGCCGAGCCTCGGACGTCACGTGCGATGGCAAGATGCCAACTTACGCTAGCCTTGTTGCCAGATTTCAGCAATTGAGGAGCAACTCATTGAGTTGGCTGTTTGTGTAACGCGTCCTCCAAGTCATTCAGCACAACGGAAAGGACGAGGGGAAACGTCAGCCAGAAATTGGCATTTGGGCTGGCTGCAGCGATTGAATATTTCGGTATTCCTTCTGAAAATAGAATCAAATAATCAAGTATTCAGCTAAAACTAAAAACAATTCATTGAATAATGAACGACCAACTGGTTTCATTTTTCGAAAATCGACATATTTATTTTTTACTTTAAACTAAACGAGTATGGGACGAACTGACGTCAGAAGCATCGTAACGATTTTACAGCGCGTGTGAGGAAGCCTGGTTTGTTAAAACATTGATCGGTAAGAACTGCACCTGTCTCAGACTGCAAGTGCTGCCGGGAACAACTTTGTGCCGAGGGGTTATCGTCCTTTATTTTTAAGGTTTGTTTTGAAGTTGGCCTTCGCTCTGCGTGTTACTGTCGTGCAAAGCGTGAACAAGCGTTGCAGCGGCTAGCTCGACTGTCTTACCAAATTTTGGATCTGTGGTGTCAATATCCCACGGCTCGGGGCAATACGAAGATGAGTGATGAGATGGAAGCAGAGAGAGAGAGGGACAAGGAAGAAAAAAGCCATCTTGGCCACCGGGGGCAGTATAACACAGACATAGGGTTATATTGTACTGTAGGCTCACTTCCTCTCTCAGCTTCTCAGGCCAAAAGTAACCAAGTCATTCTTCATAGAGGATCAAGAATATATGCCTGTTTAGGATTATTGTATGTTTGAAATTGTATCTACGTGTGTTGTTGAAAGGGTAACAACAACGCCCTCTCGTTGGTAAATGTTTAGCTCACGTGCTTGTGGAATTTCCCATTGTATGTTAGCATTCAGGTAGTAATAGCACCCAAAAAAAAAAAAAAAAAAAAAGCTTGAAGCCATTTTTTTAAGAACATTTGCACAAATTTTATATCGGCCAAGTTGAGTCACCTGCCACCATGCGGAGCTTGCAGCAAGTCAAAGCAAAATAAATCAATTTGACAGCTCAGATCTCTGGTCATTCGAATCTGAACGACCACTGTATATAAATATTTGTTGTCGTGACTCAATTTGTTGGATTATCTGGAGGTAAAAAGGACACGGCGATCCAACCGAAAGAGCGTTTCACACATATGCGTCTTTATCCTGTCCCTCCACCTGTCGCACACTCACCTGTACTTCATACTAGTGTGGCGCCCGATGGCCTCCTTCATGTGCGCGTGGCCCTGAGAGGTCTGGCGCGACCCGGGGCCCTCCCTGGTCTTGACCGACCCTTGGGAGGTGTAGTTGCCATTGCGCTCTTGTCCGCTACCTCCTCCTCCTCCACCCCCGCCTCCGCCGCCCGCTCCTCCGCCACTACCACCTCCGCCGCCGCCTCCTCCTCCTCCACCGCCGCCACCTCCTCCTACTCCTCCGCTGCTGCCTCCCGGGGGCGGAGCGGTGCGAAGGCCACAAAGTCGGTCCTCGCTGCGACTCTTGAGGTTGTGCTCAGTGCAGGCGAAGGACACCTGCATCCTGACCCTGGTTTCCGGGGGGGGCTGACGTCGGGAGTCGAACCTTTCGCTTCACAAATGTTCACTCGAAATCAGATGCGCGCTCGGTACCGCTCCACCTGAAAGGGTCTCTCTCCCGTGGGCCCAGGTTAAAGATTTTGTCTGAGAGTTCCAGGGGGAGGGGGTGCAGGCAAGAGTCCAGCCTCTAACATGACACACGCAGAGCTGCCGTCTGCTCCGTCTCCTGTCTGCTGATGCAAACCTGACAGAAAGCTCTCTGACTTTTCACAAGATGCATCAGGACTGCAGTCTGCTTTAGAAAAAAAAAAAAAGCACTCGGATGCTTGCTTGCAGATTTGGGACGGTGGGTGTTCTTTAGGGAGACCTCAGCAGAGGGGCCCACAAACATGAACACGGGCTCGCTCGCGGGGCTTGTGTCTCCTCTTCAGCTGAGGTGACTTGTTCCCGCCTTGGGCCGGAGAGCTCGCCGGCGTGCCGCAACAATGACACACACATCCTCACACTTGGCGTCGAAGTCGAGCATTTTTCCTCCCGTCTTCTTTTTTTTTTTTTTTTTTTTGTCGCAAGGTGGGAAAACACGGGCTTACATCAAAAATTCAGTGCATCATCGTCATGCGTGCAGCAGCTCCGCGCAGTTTGATGCAAGGAGGGGAAAAAAAAAAACCCAGAGGAGGCGATAGAGGAAAGCGGCATCAAATCCCACAAAGGTATTTTGTTCGAATTACCTTTTTCAGTGTGCGGAGTGGCGAACATGCCGGCAGCAGCTGGACAAGCCGTGCGCGGCTCTCCCGCTTCTTCTTCGTCTCGCGCAGAACGCAACGGAGCGATACACGCTGAGCATTGTGGAGCCGCAAATCAGCTGCAAAAGCTCACAGTGAGCGTCATCCCTTTATCATAATTTAGACTTTTTTTTTTTTTTTTGCTCTTCTTGCATTTTCCAGAAGCTCCCCAAAATGTTCACGATACACGGCGCAATCTCTCTCTCTCTCTCTCTCTCTCTCTTTCTCTCTCTCTTTTTCTCTCCTCCCCCCACTCGCCGCCCCCCCTCCTCATTCTCTCCCTCTCTCTCTGACTCTCCCATTCATCACACGGATGAACAAATTTCCTCACATCATGTGTGTGCTGCTTATGCAATCTTGCCTCGTGGCTGAATTGGAACTAATTTACAACCGCGTATCGTAGAACGCCCCCCCCCCCCCCTCCGCCCATCAAGCATGCCGCTCTCATGTGAAGGCATGTCTGCAGCTCTGCATCTCATCCACCACACCCATTAATCTGAATGAGCAACCGTCACAATTCTACTGCAACATCTGGATCGTCATCTCTGGGTGGGAGCCAGATGCCTATTCGACTCCATTATGCCACATCATCACAACACACATTACATTAAAACTGATGAGTCACGTCACAGCAAGAAGAAAAAGCATCCCTGGCTACAAATAAAATTGCACACATTCATCATTTTCTGCCAGTTTGCTTAAAATGTCAAATGGAAGCTCGCTTTGGAACCTTCTGCAGTCCCAGAGCAGATTGCATGGCAGCAGAGTGGAACTTTTGTTAAGATGGTAACTTTCCACAAGGATGAAAACCGTGCATTTTCTTCAAACAAAAGAAGAGGAGTGGCAAAAAAAAAAATAAATCTTAAATGAAAATGCAGGAAGCTTAAAAAATTCTCAAAATCCTCCCTGCAGTCCACATTAAATTGAACCCTGAGGTCATTGATCCTTCGTGAAACTCAATCACTTTGAAAAGGAGGAAAGTTTGGTCGTATCTGTCCAAAACGATAGTCAAGCTGATCCCAGCTATGACTACTGTATTTCTTTTACGCAACCATATCGATGCTGTCCGCTATGTCGATTATTTCGCAGATGGTTCACGGCACAATGACACAAGTGCGCATCTGTGCAGCGGGGACGGGCCGAGATAATGCTGCCACCTAGCGGTCGTTTTATCTGATTAAAAAAAACTGCTGCCGATTAGATGGAAAACGTCCGACATGCGGGGGACATTTTGAACACTTTCTTAAATGATCAAATACGGTTCCTCGAGTCAAAGTGAGTCTTGCTATCTTCTTATCAAGCCGAATTTTTGATCCACAGTCAGATGTTATTTTGACCAGGAGTTCGTTATGGGGATGAGTGACAAACAACACGTTCCAGATGTGCAAAGTAAATTAGAAATCTGGGGCGGTGGTCCATAAACTTTTGATACCAAGTGCCGCCTCAAAAAACCCCAAACATTTGACTCTCCAAATTCCACCAGAATGACCCATATTGAAATACAGTTGCGGGGTAGGCCAAGGTGTTCAAAATAACAATGTAGAGGTTTTATTGCCCCCTCCCCCCACCCCCAAAAAAGTCAATGTTTTTGTTCGCCAGTGCAACATTATGCTCACTTTCAACATTAACATACAAGCAAAGGGAAAATTGACTCAAATAATGATTCAAGAGCACGGTCTTGCATAAAGGGCCGTGGTGCAAATTAAATATAAATTAAATGCAAATGTAGTCTACAGTCATACGTACAATAAATTAAAAAAAAACTCATCCCAGAATAGCTTCACTCAGCACTTCAAAGCGAGATGTAAGCGAGCCAGTGAGGCAAACAAGCGCCTGTCAAACCATGTGTCACTGATCCCCCCACTACGACGAAACCCAAATATCAAGCCCCACCCCCCTCCCGTGGTGATGCTGACCCTGTCAAGCTGGAGACCATCTCTGGGGTGTGGGGGTGGTGTGGGGGCGGGAGCGCTGTGGGGAGAGCGGAGCAAGCTCGATCCTCAAAACGTCAAGACACTTCTATTCAGCTTTGAAATATCATCAAACGCTTGACGGATCTTTCTGGGTCAGTGCTGCGAGTCGGATGTCTCTAACCTTCCGTTCCATCACCACTGAATCATGCGGCATCCATGCATTAGTCATCTAAACTTGAGCAATAATAGAAAAAACGTTGTTATCTAATTGATCATCGTCCATCGATTTTTCAGTATTTCAAAGCAACATGTATGTTATAGGATTCATTTAGTATGTTCAAAGCTCATCCGTTTCATTAGGTACACATGCAAGAAGTGAAAATAACCGCACCGCATCAGACTGCGAGGCGTTTTCAAATGTTTGCTGTTGCGGTAGCTTTCAGAGATCATAATTGACGTATGGATGTTTAAACTGTTTACACGTCTGCAAACCACAGCTAGCGATATAGCATCATTGCCCAAGTCAGTTTTAACTTACTGGCCCAATGCTAAAAATGTTTTTTTTTTCTTTATATCTGCGTAGATACTCAGCCGTGCAGGTCATGGTAATCCACAAAGGTTAAATTGTGGGATTTTTTTTTTTGTTTTGTTTTATTTGACAAAAACAAAATCACATATAGAATGCGGCTAAAAGATATTGTTGAATAAATATTGTGAAATGAATACCTCCATGAGGGTGTCAATCAAAATAAAAATAAGTGACTAAAAAAAAAGAAAAATGCATAAAATAGAAAGTCCCTATTGTCCTTGTCGATGCTTCTGCCGTGAAACTGGAACTCCCTCGTTTGTGTTGTCAAGAAGACAAAGAGAAGAGATGAATAAATAACACAAAAACAAGACGAAAGTATGCCGTACAAATAGCATTGAGGTGCTGTGGAATAATCTCTTTGGGGAATAAGTTTTGCTCACGTTTTAATCGGAAAAAAAAAAAAAAGTTTTGGCCCCAAAACGCGATATCTGTTCTTCTCACCTGTACGACATGGCCGAGCGCTCAGCCTCGCAGTCGGCCAGCGAGAGGCCGCATTCTCTGAGATAAAGCTCCAGTCGCCGACGCTCCACCAGCCTGTGCGCCGCCGCCAGGATCTGAGACGCCAGGGCCTCGGACTCGGTCTTCTGGTCCGGGCTGGTCTTGCTGCTCCGGGCTCCGCCGGCCTTGGTCACGATACTCCCCGAGGAGGAAGACGCTTTGGGCTTCTTGCTGATGCCGTAGAGGTCCTCCACCGAGTACTTCCCTCCCTTGCCTCCTCCGGTGCCCCCGCGGCTCGCGAACATCGTTATCCCGAGTCAAAATGCTGGAACAAATCAGTCTTTAGCTCATTTGCGTCAGCGACTTTCGGCAAAAAAAAAAAAAGCAGCTTGTGAGTTTGAAACAAAACAACAAGGCGGTGCCGTCTTTGATGGAGATTCGCGAAGATTGGAGGACGTCGGGCGTCGAAATGTCTGCAAAAGGAGCACTCGCAGGCCACGCAAAACATCAAAAAGTGCCGGATTGCTCCCTTTGCGGCGTCGACGACTAAAATAAAACAAAGAGCACACCTGTCAGTCGCAAACAATGCCTCGCTAGCGCTGATGTGAGGTGGCTCTTTGAATTAAAAAAAAAGAAAAACAACAAAAACGGATGGGAATAAAAGCACTCCGCATCTTTCTCTCTTGATCTCCCAAAGGAGGGACACTGGGGGATTTGTGCTCAAACCCCACCGGCTTACATTTGTTCAGATTACCAGGCAGATGAAGTAAGTCTGCTCTTGCAACCGTCGCGTAATCTGGAAGAGGCCCGGCTGATGCAGCTCAACGCTTTGACCTTCACCTTAGGAGACAATTTTGTGCAAGTGGGACAGTTAATGAGCTGATACGCGTGTCCGCCAAAATTCATCAACACCAAGTACTTTGACGGTTTGCTGTTAAAAGTCTTTATCGAGGTCGTCAGGGTCTTCAGAATCATTCGTGCTGGTGATGTAATTTATACGCGCGTTTACGACATTCGGAAACGGGACCGTTTCTTTAACCACTTTGATTTGGTGGCTTTCATTGATGTCAGCAATTTTCTGGCGTCTGAATCGCGTGGTGAGAGCTAAAGTTGTACACGTCTCCGAGCAAATCACATTGTAAAGCGCTCCAGATGTAAATGCACGTGGCGAGTTGCATTTTTTTTTTTTTTTTTTTTTTAGTATCGTCTTGATGGGATCTATAATTGCAACATGATAGTGGTGGTATTAAGAGGTGGATTAAGTTGGTTAAGTCGCCACTCAAGGCCCTGATGCCACTGCTTTCCTGACATGGACCCCTCTGCCGTGCGCTTATCTGTCACTCACTCATCTACTGTAGCACGGGTTCATCTCACATATGTTGTCACGGGGGGGGGGGGGGGATCTCTTCATGTGAAAGTAACACAAAAGGCATCAGAGTGAATTCTGTGGGGATCAATTGACTGTCTGTCGACTTCATCCTGACCATAGGAAGGAAAAATATAGCACAACGGTGTAGTTCAACATCTTTCATGCACCCTGTAACCTGACAACATGGTAAACTGTCCACTGTAGGCACCGCTGCCCCTGAAAGGGTTCATAGCAGAATTTGCCCACGATGCTGATGAATCCATTTTTTTTTAAGAAGAAAAAAAATGTATGCATATAGATTATAGTAAGATAGTGTCGTGAGCGATGCTTTGTTAGGAACGGCTTCAGAATCTAACGACAGCTATTACTTTGCCGTCATGACATTCCATTTATCATAATGGGACTGGGTGAATGAGTTAGAACCTTGACAGTGGAAAATCGCTGTACATATAAATTCCAGAGAGATGACAAAAAAGCTGTACCAAAAAAAAAAAAAAATCAGCCTTTGCTGCAATCATTAGAATTTTGAGTACAGCGCAGACCTTGCAGAGAGAAGGCTGAACGATGAACAAAAGTGGAGGAGCACTCGACTTGCTTTGGTTTGAAGGCTTCGTCCTATTCACAGAGAGAATGACATAAGAAGGCAGCACAGTAAAACATAATTTACGGAAAAAAATATCCATTGACAAATTGTTTGATGAGATACCTGGTTTTATTTTTTTTAGCTCATCTAAAACAGCTAAATTGATGAAAGAAATAATGATTTGCCCAATGCCCCTTCTCTAAATTGTAAATAGGTGTGAATGTGATCGAAATGGTTTATCTATATGTGTCCTGTGATTGTCTAGTAATCAGTCCATGGGGTAGCGGGGTGGTAACAAGTTTGGTTTTGTCATTGAACATAATT